CATAGTAAAACAGTCGAACTTTTACTGATTTTTTACAGGAGGAAAATCATCAGTAGAACATTCTCACTGTTGAACATTCAATAAGATAGAATCTGCTAGAGAAGTATGTGGATGCGAGTAGCTGTGCATTTAAATGTGTGCACCTCCTTAGTTAAAACTCTACTGCGCCCATGAGGGTCCACTGTAATTTGTATACCAGAGCTGTAGATCTTTCAACAGAGTACGCGTCTCTCACGCAAGCCGCCCCTCTGATATTGAGATATGTTGTGGAAATGGGAGTGGGTTTGGCGGTGCGTTTGTCAACCACAAGAGAGGCGCCCTGCTTTCGGCCGGAAAAGAGCGTCAGAGAGCAGAAAATAAAAATAATAATAACAAATGTATTACGGGGCGGGCGTGTAACGCCGCGCAGTGCGGCTAGCTGACCGCAGCCGGGTCACCTGGCGGCGTAATCGTGCGCGCCACCTAGCCGGCCAGGGGGGGCGACCCTCGGGGCGGCGGCGAGGCGGCCCCAGGAAGTGTGTAAGATTAAAAACGGAAACAAAATGAAACAAAATGACAGCAGCGCGACGTCCTCTTTCAGCGAGCTGTGTGGCACATCGTGAAAAATATAAGGAAACAACGTCGTCCAGACCCCAGTAAAAAAGGGGGGGAAACCTGCATTTTAAAATTAGCTTTGTGGACACAACACGATAAGGTTGTCGAACGAACTATGTTAGCTTGACAAAGCTCTATCATCGCGGTTGGATTACGCATTGTTGTTTAATTATTGTTACATTCACTGAAATCTGCAAGCTTCCGCCATCCACACTAGTCACTCGTCTCCCTGTTCATTCTTTCTTGCAGTTCTGTGTGATCAGAACCCGTCGGGCGACTCGTCTGTTTTTTCTGCTGTTCGCGCCACACCACTCTCTCTGTCAATGCCGGCTCTATCCGCTCCGGTGTGACACGTGCGCACTCTCTCACGGGGTCAGCGTTTACAAGCGGCAGAAGACATCCGAGCTGCACTCAGCGCGCCCGTTTCCAAACGCCGTTCCTAGAACATGAGCCAGCTCGCGTTGCGGAGCAATGACTGTGTTTGGTCCGGCGTCGCGCCGTCGGCCCACTCGCGTCACTTGATACTACCGCGGAAGACGAGGATGTGACACACCGCGTTACGCTCGCGACCTATTCGCCAGACGCTGTAAATGGTACGCTGCCAAACGTTATGAAAGCGTACGGTTTAGGCCCACCCGTCCGTATGTACAGAGACCGCGAAGAACTAGTTCGTATGGCAAATACTTCAAAATTCTTTGCCCTTTATTTTCTTTGCAGCTTGCGAAGAATTTTGAAGCATTGTTATACGAACTAGTTCTTCAAGTTTGCAAACTATTTCTTTTGCAATGCAAACACACTGTTTGCAATTATCCTGAAGGCTGGTAAATAATTTCTATTGCAATACAAAGCTCGCAAATTCTTTGCAACATTGCAGCACACGGCTGTTCTACGGGACGGCGTATGAAGGCAGGCGCTCGGATAGGCAGACCCGCAGCACACGGCTGTCCTACGGGACGGCCTATGAAGCCAGGCGCTCGGATAGGCAGACCCGCAGCACGCGGCTGTTCTACGGGACGGCCTATGAAGGCAGGCGCTCCGATAGGCAGACCTGCAGCACACGGCTGTCCTACGGGACGGCCTATGAAGGCAGGCGCTCGGATAAGCGAATCGGCGGCACAAGGTTGTCCTACGCGCCAGCTCATGCTACAGGCGCTAAGCCCGCGATGAGCACTGCAGCATGGGCTGGCCCTTGTGGC